GGCCGCCTCCTCGACCCCCGGCTGCCCCGCAGCTCCGAAGTAGCAGTCGGGCGGAGTGCTGGTGGTGGAGCCGCTGGCTGGGGACATGTTGATATAGTCGCTGCCGCCGCAGGGGAGCTTCCCTTCGTTGCTCTCCACTGAGAGTTTTGGGTGGTGGCCGGCACCATTTGTCCAGATCTTGCCGTAGCCCGCAGAGCTGCTGTCAGGGGAGTAGCTGCCACTGGGGGACATCATCATGTAGCCATTAGAGTCCACTGTGGCTGGAGGGTGGCGGCCACCCCTGCCAGGGTTGATGATCTGCTGCGGGGCCGACACACTCTTGGGACTCATGGGCATATAGTCACCACCCTTGGGGGGCCCCCCACCACTGGGCACAGGGGCTACACCGGGCGACATGGGCATGTAGCCATCATCCGTGTGCGGGGCAGAGTTGGTCCGATGATGGCCACTGTCCATGTGGTGCATCTCCAGGCACTCCTCTGGGTAGGAGTGAGTGGGCACAAAGGCTGAGTGGCGGTAGGAGGGCAGCCTGCTGCTGCCACAGGGGTAAGAAGGCAGCATCTCCGTGTACTCCTCAATGGAGGCCACTGAAGACTGTGAGGGTGTTTTCTGGTGGGAGATGGTGGGCGAAGTGCCTGCAGAGTGAGTCCGCTTTCTGAATGCCTTCTCCAAGTCAGCAACCTCCTCACTACCACCTCGAGGACAGCAGGGTGTACTAGGATAGCGGGGCTGCTGCTGAGGGTGGCAGGTGCGTGGGATGAAATGGCCATTGGGTGCTGCCAGGCTGCAGCAAGAAGAGGTGGCCTTCCCTCCCATGCAGATGTAGTTGAGGTCTTCATCGCCCCGGGCAGGGGGGGTGTGTCCCAATGAATCAGGAGTTACACTGCGAAAAGAGCTGCGAAAGTCACAAGGGCTTGAACCATACTCATCAGAAGAAATAAATCCACCATCACTGGGAGAACCAGAAACTGAAGCACTAGACCTTCGAGGGAACAGGCAGTCTGAGGTGGAGCCGTGGCCACTAGTGCTGCTGGATGACAGGCTGACTGGACTGGTGGCTGAAGGAGAGCAGCGTGAGGAAGGCATTGGGATGGACCGGCTGTGGTTGAGTGGAGGATGGAGCCTGGAGTTGCCACGGTGTCTGTGTGAGTGAGTCCGGTTAGCACTGGGACTAACTGGGCTGCCATCCACAGAGGCAGGTCTTGACATTGTGCCTTCCCCATCACTCGATGCTCGAACCCGGAAAGAGCTGGGTTTGCCACCTGTACCTCCACCACCAGCAGGAGAAGTGGCCGTGACGCTCTCAGTCCTGGATCGCCGACTGAGCCCCACTTGGCTCGGTGGAGGGTTGTTGACGTGGTGCCTGCGAAGGGGCACAGAGATCGGGTTGGAACAGTTTGAGGAGGACTGGCTCTTGCTACGGGGCCGGAATTCCTCACTCATGGCTCGCATGGCCTCCAGGATAGTTTCATGCATGTTCTGTGCCACCACTGAGTCATCCACTTGCATCCAGAACTCACCAGGTCCAGTGACAGCTGAGCGTCCCACCTCAATGAAGAAGAAGTTCTCAGAGTGACCACAGCGGCGGATATTGAGCAGCTGCAGCACCACAGCAGCCGCATCTGAATTCAGCTTTACAAAGCTGATGGTCTTGTTAGTCAGGCACAGGCGGTAGATGCCAATCAGGTTCTTTGTCTGGCCTAGGCCCTTAGGCTTCAGAATTACTTGCCAGACTTCCTTAAAAGCTGGACCAGGGGCTACCTCACCATAACTGTCCTCACCTGCTTCCCCCAGTCCTGTGCTGCTGCCTCCAAAAGTGACATCGCTGTGGTGGTGGTGGTGATGGTGATGGAGGTGATGGTGGCCCTTGGCCCTGTTGTGCAACTGCAGCAGTGCTTGGTACCAGCTCTCCTGCTCAGGTTCACTGTCAGCTGCAATGGCAAAGTGTTCGTCCTTGGTGTAGAGGGCCACCAGGTGCTTGTTCTTGGAGTCAGCCCGTTTGTTGATGTTGAAGCAGCTTTCTAGTGGGATGGAGCGCTTGGGGGCCCCTGACTTGTGTCTCCATTTCTTCTCATTCTCGTAATACTCCAGCCGGGCGGGTCCAGACTCACTGGCTGCCCTCAGCACGAAAAATCGTTTATGCATGCTCTTGGGTTTGCGCAAGTAACCCACCTTTCTGACATCTGAGAAGAAGCCCTCGTTATTATCTGTGGGGCTGGCCATGATGAGAGGTGGTGGAGTTGTTACTGCAGCTCGCAGTCTGCAAGACCCCAAAACAGCCAAGCCAACCAGGAAAGGCAACCACGTAAAATAAAATTCATGCAACAACAATTAAAAAAAAAAAGGAAATAAAAAAAAGAAAAAAGGCAAAATAGCTCAGGATCCTCTTTTGAGAATGGGACGGGGGAGGGACAGAAGCAGGGTGAGAGCAGCTGTTCAGTGGCAGAGGCAGCTTCCAGCACCAAATCAGAGTTTGTGTTGCTGTTTATGCCCAAATCGCGCTTAGACGCGTAAGCTCGTCCTTAAAAAGTCCAGTCCCGATCAGTCCAGACGAAAGTCTCGTCCCAAAATGAGCAGCCGGGAATGAAAAACACATCTTCCCTTGCAGGGGTCGGGCTCCGGCGGGGCCGGTAGCTAGGCGCGGGTCCCTTTCCTCCGCTCCCTGCACCCCTTCCCCGGCTCAAGTTTGCCTCCGCGAGCAGCGATCTCTGTTGCAGATTAAATATCCTCTCGGGGGCGGAGATTGTTTTGCAAAGTCCGGGGTTTGCACCCAAAAATACACGCTGCTCTCCCCTCTCTCGCTCTCCTCTCAAAAAAGAGAAAATTTTAAAAAAAATGCCGCCCACAATACAACCCCCCTTCCCCAAATATCAGCGCCGAGGCTGCTGCTCCCGCTCGTGCGTGCGGAGGAGGCTGGCGACCCCATTCAGTCCCATCTCGTTAGGCAGAGAAAGTGCCATTTCCACACGCGGCGCAGCCCGGCAGCGGCGGGAGGGGAGGCAAGCCCGAGTGCCGAAGGAACATCCTCTCTTCCTCCTCCTCTTCATTCCAGGCGGCAGCGCCTCTGCGGCCGGCGGCGCGGCCCCCTCCCGTGCCCCAGCCCGCCGGGGGAGCGGGCACCGCCGCGGCGGCTCCTTCTCCGCCGGCTTCTCCTCGGAGTTTCCCGGCGCCCCGCACCAAAACAGGCGGCGGGGGCCGCGCTCGGCAGTCCAGCCCCCTCCGCCCGCCGCCGCGGCTCCGGCTCACTCCAAGGAGAACAACACGTGACGGCGCCAGTGCGTGGACCATCCCCGGAGCCGCCGCCGGGCTCCCGGCCAGCGCCGCCGCTCCGCCCTCCGCCCTGCCCTCATTCAGCGCGGCCGCGGGGCCGCCGCCGCCGCGCCCCCATTGGTGCCGCCGCCCGTCCGTCACGGCTGCGGCGGCGCCCGGCCGGGCTGGGGCGCGGCGCGTAGTAAAGAGGCGTAGACGCCATTCAGCGCCGTGTTTTTTATACCCGCCGCCGGCGGCCTCTGCAGTGTGGCGGCTCCTGGGCCCGGCCGGGCGGGGAGATGCTCCCGCCTACCCGCAGCCCTTGCCGCCGGCCTCGTGGGGAGGGGAGTGGAGGGGAGCGAAGCGGGGGCGGTGTGCCTGCGGCCGCGCCCGCCCCGCTCGGGGCTCGTTCCGCTCCTCGGGCTCAGACGCGGCCCCGGCGCTGCCAGCGCGGCCGGTCCCCAGCAGGGGCCTGGCGGGAGGGAGGGCTCGGCACGGCGCTGCCTCCATGGCGGGCGAGGCCGGGCCCCAGCAGCGCTCCCGCCACCGGCTGTGCAGCGGGTCCCTTGTCTCCCCGCGTCGCTCCGTGCTAGATTAAACCGAGCGTGCAGCGGCCGTGCCGGGGCTGGACGTGCCGCGCCCGCAACTCTGCTCCGGGCCCCGGGAACAAGTGCGGGAGGGAGCACTGCGGCCGCATCCGCTGCTCAATGCTGCCCTCTGCGGGACAGCGCCCGGCCGGGCGCGGGCCGTGCCTTCGGGGGCGGGCGCGGGGTCTGGGGGGGCCTTTGGTGTCCCCTGGTGCCGCTTAGGATGGGTCACCCTGGACAGCCTGGCAGGGAAGCGGGGCTCTAATCGCACTGAGCTGCCACTTGCCCTGCCCCAGCAGACTGCAGCTGGTCAGAGGTGATAGCAACACAGCACTGCTCTCCTCTACTCTTCAGGTTAAAATTAAATAAAAGTACACTCTCGTTTGGATTTGTGTAGGTCCAAACACGGGGTAAATAAGTTGGAGGTTTATCTAATGCATCTGCACTACAAAGTTTGCTGCTGCGCCAATCGTGGCCATACAATTATTTGAGAGGAGCAGTTGCTTCGTCAAAAGGTGAAAAATCCCCCTGAAACAGCTGAAACACAAGGAGAACCTAGAAAGGACAGCAGGCAGCAGCACTAACCACCCTTGCATATCATCCTGTAGAAAACACCATAAAGCACAGAATTGTTTAAGGGTGTTTACCAAACACAAAATGACAATTTCTAATGCAAGAGCAGAGTCTAGCTGGTGAGGAGTGAGGAAAAAAGACAATCCAATCCATGCTGTAACAATAACCTGTATCATCACCTCATTCTTTCCTCAATACCATAGCTCATCATGACAAACCCAGATATTTGTATTGAAAATGAATCTGTTATACATACCCAGAGATAAAGATTAGCTCAAACCAAGTGGATTTCTATCCTCCAACAAGTAGGACAAGAAACTACTCCCCCAGCCCACACCATGGAGCTGTGGGATAGAATTGCAGATTAAGATCAGCTATGGTGGCTGTCATTAATGACAAGGCATGTTTGTGAGAAGAGGGCACCATCCCCATACATCCACAGCTAAAAGGTCCTGTGGCAGGAGGATAGCTCCTAAACCTTCTCTCCCTGTCCCTTCACAAGCATAGGGATGCATGTTTGTGCATAGAATATATGTGCTACTTTTGTAATTAAACAATTTGCACATAGTAGGTAAGGTTATTAATATTAAATAATAAATTTTATTTGCTCTGCCCCATTCTTTCTCTTGGCAGGTGTTTCACTGATGTGCACACATAAGTGGAATGATCTCTTCATGGAGAAAAACTGCCAGCTGACTTGCATTGTCTCACACCAGGAAAGATGGATTTGAGAGTAAAAGTAGGAGATAGTCCTATAATCATAGAATTTATTGAGTTGGAAGATACTCATACAGATGATCAAGGCCAAGCCCTGCTCCTCACAGGTCTAGCCAAAACTAAAGCATCTGACAAAGGGCATTGTCCAAACTCTCCTTGAACTCTGACAGGCTTGGTGTTCTGACCACTTCCCTGGGGAGCATGTTCCAGTGACTGACCACCCTGTCAGTGAAGAACCTTTTCCTAATGTCCAATCAACTTCCCCTGACAGTTTCATTTGGTTCATACCATGTTCTAGCCACAGCTTGTGGGCAGACAGTATATTTAAATGTGCTCCATTCATCCTGGGAACATTCTCTTCAATAATAGCTGGTTTTGCAGATAAAATAAAATCTGGTAGTTCTTATCTGGTTATCAAGGGGATTCAGTAAATGTCGCAGAAGCGTTTTCAAACTTTATATATAGATTCATGGCCTTTGCCCAGCAGAAATAACAGGCAATAACATACTTCCAGCACATTCTGAAAACTATTTTTTAAAGTTAGTTTGCACCATGCCAGACCACATGTTGGAATTGTTTTCTTGCTCTTTGAGTTCCAAAACTCTGAAGTACTGTGCTTTTCTGTGAGGTACATAAGTGTGCACACCAAAGAGAAGAATATACCCTTACTGTTTCTATTTAAACACTCCCCCTGCCTTGACCATGAGTACTGAGAACTCAGAGTTTGTAACTAGTTGCAAAGGGCTTCAAACCAAGACATTTAATTATCTTTGTAAATACCTATAGCTATCACATTACACCACTGTCTCTCTATACAAGAAATTCAGCTTCAATAAACAAGAACAAAATTGAAGTTACTTTTCTAGCACTCACTCATTTAGGATTTGGATTTCTAGTCCAAATCCTAAATTTCATTTCTGCATTTTCCTATTCTGATCATACACCTCAGAATATATATACACACCCATATATATTTATACATATATATATCTCTCCATATTCATTCTCTTGGAGACAACATGATTATTTGATATAGAGAAGGGAAAAGAGTATAATAGAACAGATAAGGATCAAAATTCCTAACTCTTATCTGCCCTAGTAAGTGGCTGAAAGATTAATTTAGAAGAGAGTAATCTCATGAGGCATAAAGTGTTTGAGACAATTAGTTCTCACAGTGTCTCTCCTCAACCTAGCAGAGCAGATCAGTAAGGATTGGGAGATAATCAAAACTTGTGCTTTGGTAATGCTTTCTTGGTGAAATGGCATCCCAGGAAAGCAACTGCAAGGATCCAAAAGTGACTGAAGAGGTAGTGCTGCTCTAAATTACAGTGAAGACTGGTTTCTCTTGAAGCCACCTTTACCTGTTTACATAAAGATTCTCAGCTAGCTGCAAAAATGAGTAAAAGGAGAAGTTAAGAGTCAACATGGACCCTTAATACAGTAAGGAATAAAACCACTGCTTATTTACCTGTTCAGGTGATTGTCATAGGCTCTTGATTTTTTTTTTTTTTGCCTCTGCCATCAACTGCTTTTATGGCTTTTTCTCCAACCTTCCTCTCCTCAGACACATCTCTATGCACTTTGTTCACTTTCTGACTTTATCTGACTGTTCTGTTAAAAGGCTGTTAGACTTGCTATTACAGTCTTCTAGAAATTTAGGGTCCACAAAAAAAAAAAAAAATCTCTCTCACAACGATGAAAATCAAAATAAAAAATTCTCCAAAGGTGAAGTTACAAAAATAGAAAATTCCCCAAAGGTGAAGTTACATCACTGTAACTCTCTAAGAAAAGCAGAATGACCCTTGTTCGCCACCTTCCTCCATTTACAGCTGACCTACAAGTTGCTCCCTCTAACCCCAGCTCACAGTTGATCCTAAAATGCTTGATCTCATTTTCCATATCCAACTCTTCAGTTAAAACAACATCATTTCTAGGCAGAATATAATGAAAAAAAACCAAACAAACAAAATAAACCCCCCCCCCCAAAAAAAACCCCAAAAGCCAACAAGCAAAAGAAACCCAGGTCAGGAAATCAAAACTTCCTGAGCATGATTTTCTTTCATTTCCTACTGAGTTGGAATCATGTTGTCCAGGAGCAAGAAGCTGCTTGGCCAGGAAAGGGGAGCCAGGTAAGGGGCAGTGACCTCCCCAGCTGCAGCCCATTCCTATTGTACCCAAATAAGGTGAGCAGGAAACCCTTGGTGCTTTTTTGATATAAAATTTCTCTTACATATAAATAGAATTTCCTATGTTTCAGTTTGTGGCCGTTGCCTTTCACCCTGACACTGGGCACTACAGAGAAAAGCCCAGCTCTGTGTCCATCACACCAACACAGGTATGCTCTGGGACAAGGCCCAGGGTTGAGTTGATTGCATTTTATTTTTTTAAATCTCATTTGTAGTATTTACTTTTCATCCAGTAAGGGTGAAATTTGCATAACTCCTCCTTCAAAAATAGTGTGGCCATCTCTAAACTAGTTAAATCATTACTTAAGTAAACAAGATGTTTAATTTCTCTGTTAAAGGAATGGCAGTAATATTATGATTATCGATTTTGTATCACTGATTTGTACCATCATCTCTTTGAAGCAAACCAAGAACATATATGGAATCACAAATTAGAATCTTCAAGTGCCTTTCAAGAATCTAAATTGTTATGCTGCCAGCTGTATCCCACTGCATCACAAGAACAAGGACTACAAAAGTTCAAGGCATCGTTTCTATACGTCAGTTATTAGGAATTTTTCTATCATGTATTCTCCAGTTCATGTGTAAAACATAGCAGCATTTAGAGTGCATTATTGATATGAAATATTTATGTCCTAGTGATCAAAATTAATTCATACAGACTATATTTTTTGTACATTAGTACCTCCCTATATAGCTTCATGTGTCTTTGTTTAAAGAAGCCAGAAAAGATAAAACATTATTCCTAGGCTGTCCATTGGGAATATGGATATCCCAACTGAAGTATCACTAAACTAACAGCAAGCTCAGTAAGACTTTTGGATAATTCCCAGGCTACACTGATCAACCTTCAGCTCTGCATCTATTATCTTTATATTTCCTTGCTGCAATAAGTTCAGAAACTGTAGTGATGCTTCACAGATTTTTTTT